GGGATCTATCAGGGTTCTATAGGGTTTAGGGTTTAGGTTTAGGGGTTTAGGGTTTAGTGAAAAGGGATCTATAAGGGTTGAAAAGGGTTTAGGGTTTAAGGGTCCATGTACTCATATAGTAATATAGGTACTTTGGGGCCAAAGTATGCACTATTTGGATACATGGACCCTTAGGGTTAGAGTGGCTTCCTTTCTTTAAGGGCTCGGTGAAAGCGGTCTATAAGGGTTCCCATAAAGGTTCAGTGGGGTGGCGTGATAATTATGGTAGGGCTCGGGCGTATGTGAAAGTATCATTTCAAATAAGGACCCTCTAAGCAATGTAACTACCATAGGGTTTGAGGGCGGGTATATTATAGTATAGTTATAATGGTAAGCCTAAGGAATAGTATAGGTAATTATTCAGACCCTTCAGGTTTTAGGCTTAAGGATTAGGGCTTTTAGGGTTTAGGATTTTGGTTTTAGGGGTTTAGGTTCAGGGTCAGAATTTATGATCCTGCCACCCCCAAAGATGTGGCCTGGAAGGTAACAATTTCCCAAACTGCTGCAAAACGAACGGTCCTGTTGCCCTTTCCATTTCTGAAGCCCACGCGCAGTGCTCCGTAGCCTAATACTTGGAGGATCATGGGACTTAGTAAGTAGGGTTATAACTAGGGTAACTATACTTATAACCCCAATTAAGGGACTTATAACCTTACTTACTAAGTCCCATGATCTTCCAAGTAGACGCTAAACCCTAAGCCCTAAACCCTAAACCCTAAACCCCTGGAAGCCCTGCAGAACGGGAGCTCTTTACTACACGCCTTGATCCGGCAACAGGGCCTGGCTTCGCTGCTTAATAAAGATGATCGGCAAAAAGGCGCTTAGGTAACCCTGAACCCTGAACCCTAAACCCCTAAACCCTAAACCCTAAACCCTAAACCCTAAGCCAAACACCCATGCAGGCAGGGCCTGTCGCCAGGCGCCCCTGCATGCGCCCAAGGCTGCACCGAACGTGATGGCCTAGATTGCCAGAGACTCCAAAGCCTTATAAGCCCTATAATAAGCCCTAAACCCTAAATCCTAAACCCTAAACCGAACACTCCAAGCCCTAAACCCTAAACCCTAAACCCTAAGCCCTAAACCCCAAACCCTAATCCCTAAACCCCAAGCCCTAAACCCGAAACCCCCTACCTCACATCAGGTTAAAGATCCCCCGGCACCAAGGTATCTTCCTTACAAGTAACCTGATGCAACGAAACTATAAAACCCCAGCTCAACAGAGGGTTTAGGGCTTCGGGTTTAGGGTTTAGGGTGCTGATCCCTTCAAGTGTTACGGGCATTTGGAGGCTAACTCACGAATACCCGGTTTGCAACGTCTTTACATCACATGCATCCACTCATGGAAACATGCGTGCATACATCAAGGCAGAAGACATATCTACGTGTGTTGAGGCCCGTCAGCTTGAGCTTTTCAGGGGGGGGGGGGGGGGGGGG